CACACACACACTGGCATATGCTGCACACACGTGTACACACACACACACACACACACACACACACACTTTTTTTAGATCTCCTAGTCCCTAGGAGGAGGGAAAAAAAAAACTTTGTAGGCCTCTACTTAGCCCAAAGTACTTTTCTTCAGGTCTAAATAAGACTTACCAAGGGCCACTTACTAGTTACACACCATTAAAAACTGTGATGTCCAGCCGGGTGCTGGTGGCTCACGCCTGTAATCCTAGCTACTCAGGAGGCTGAGATCTGAGGATCGCGGTTCAAAGCCAGCCCGGGCAGGAAAGACCGTGAGACTCCTATCTCCAATAAACCACCAGAAAACCAGAAGTGGCGCTGTAGCTCAAGTGGTAGAGCGCTCGGCTTGAGCTGAAGAGCTGAGGGACAGCGCCCAGGCCCAGAGTTCAAGCCCCACGACCGATAAAAAAAAAACAAAACTGTGATGTCCAAAGAAATCTTTGTTCTAAAAAAAATCATTAGCTTTATAAAATTGTGACAAAATGCTTGGCTCTAAAAATGGAGTTCCTGATACAGCATATGTTTTCCCTTCATCACAGATTAGTTAAAAATCCAAGTTAATTAGAATAATAAAGTTTTCTACAACTAGCTTCATTAATAAATGATGGTGACAGTCATAACAACAATAAAAAGGGACAAAAGCAAACATTCTGTAGGCATATACTACATGCTAAGCCCTTCTGTGTTATCTCTATGAATCCCCGCAGTAGCCCTATTAGCTCTTACAGTCAAGGACACTTTAGAGCCATATGAATCATAAATAGGCATCTCTTTCAAAAAGTTTGGATGATGAAATTAGAAATGAAAAACATCTCTAAATCAGAAATGTTTCCCTCAATTTGCATGAAGAGAGAAAGAGAGAAGGGGGAGGAGGGAAGGGAGAAAGAGAGAGATCTTGAAAAGTCAGAAGAATGACCTAGCATGGACTTTCCTACCATAGCTACAGGTCTGGTTAGGTACCAAGGTCACTAGGACCCTCCTCTTAAGAAAGCTGACATCTTCACTGATTCAGGCCAACTGAGGTCAACATCCTCCCCACTAGAGGAAACATGTTACACTGAGTTTCACACTCAGACCCTCATTTTCTGGGGGCCAAAAGGGTTCACAGCTATTTGTATGTGAACGGTGCTTGTGTATGAGGTGCTGTCATTTTTGCCACTAAGAAGTCAAAAATGGAGAAAAACGTACCCGGTATTCTCAATATTTCTGAAGTGTTTTAAGGTCTTTTAAATGTGATGGCTTGCTTTACTTTTAAAGTTTGCTTAGAAACAGCATGTCTGGTCTAACTGCATCTCTCAAAGGTAGGTATGTCCAACAATGGGGCATAGGTCGAAGGACAGTGGAGGACAGTCCTGCCCTCTTACTTAACAGATGGGAGCACAGACCCAGAAATGGGGAAATGCTACCCAGGGTATACACCAACATTCAGCAAGTGAACACCAGACTGTCTCTTCACCCAGGCTGCTCTGGATAGAATCCTTGTAAGTATATCTCAGAATGGAATTAGCCTCAGCTTGGAAATGAGGTGCTGATTGGGCAAGACCCAAATGTATTTGCTAAATTCTTCTTGACCATAATTATAGGTAATTTTGGATGGGATGATACTATTGATGAGAAGAATTTATTGTGGAGATTTCAAATAATTCAACTAACATTTCACCTTGATACAGGTGGAAACCTGAATCAAAGATAGGAATGGGAAAGAAACAAGTTATTCACAAAAACCAGCTGGGCTCACGCCTGTAATCCTAGCTACTCAGGAGCCTGAGATCTGAGAATCATGGCTCAAGGCCAGCCTGGGCAGGATAATCTGTGAGATCTTGTCTCCAATTAACCACCAAAAAGCCAGAAGTGGAACTGTGGCTCAAGTGATAAAACACTAGCCTTGAGCAAAGAAGCTCAAGTATAAAACTCAGACCCTGAGTTCAAACCTAGAACTGGCATACACACCCCCCCCCAAAAAAAATTCAGTTGCTTGCTCTGTCTTCTGAGATTGTGGCTAGAGAGGTAGAAGGTAAATGACTCTTATTTCACATTTCCAGACTAACTTCCCTTCCTGAGTTTGGTCTAAAAAAAAATAGCATGTCACACCAATGTTCACAGCAGCACACTAGAGGAAAAATGGAAATAACTCAAATGTCCATCAACAGATAAATGGATAAATAGAATGTAGTATATATAGTATGGAATATTATTCAGCCTTGAAAGGAATGAAGAGCTCATACATGCTACAACATAGATGAACCTTGAAAACATCTTCCAAATGGAAGAAGCCAAAAAGGACAAAATTGTATGATTCCATTACTGTGATGAGGCATCTAGAAGAAGGTAATGATAGGTAAACTAGGACACTAGGACTAAGAAGGGGAAAATAGGAAGTTATTGTATAATGATCAGAGAGTTTCTGATAGGAATATTGAAAATGTTGGGAAATTGATAGTGATGATGGCTGTATAACACTAAATGTACCTACAACCACTGAAATGTACTCTCAGAAATAATGTAGTGAATTTCAGGTTAAGTGTATTTTATCTCAAAAATACAACCCTTTGTTTCTCAACTAGAATTCCTAAACTGTATTTCGTGCATTCATTGCCAATGAAAGCCCAGATTTCTCAAGACCCGTTTACTGTCAACAGCACCATAGTCAGTCATGTACGTTTATACATACAGACTGAGTAGCACATAGGCCACTCTGTGTCCTGCAGTAACCTATCTATCAACACATGTTGACACCAGAACCTCCACAAGCCAGCTCCAGTGAGGAGGCCCATGGTGAGCCTAAGACCACCAAGCAGGCTTAAATAGGGTCTCATCCCCTAAGTTCCTCACCACAGGGTAAAGTATATGTATATCTGATCTGCAAAAATGAATCATGTGCATACATGTGACAGGACGTCAGGAACTAACTATTCACTAAGCTCCTCCACCAGGAATGAAGAGATTAAGCCCATCCATTGCTATTTTGGTGAAGTCTGCGATTGCATGGTTTGAACAGTAGGCATCCTAAATGCAAATGCATATAATTAGGAGCTAAATCTTTGTACCTTTACAGGACAAAGGACCTAATAAGCAGGATGTACCATTTGTGACTTTAGAGGAGAAAAGAGGTTTTCCTTTTTTTTGCTTAGAAGAACCCATTTCTCAGGAGGCAAAGAGAATCTGAAAACAAGAATCTTGTGAAAAAGAAGGGGAGGAGGAGTTGTATGTATTATAGATGACTACAAAATAATGCATCCCCCCTGACCCACAAGATGGCAGCTCTGTGCCACACAGTACCATGACCTTTACTCAACTTGAACTTCAAGGTTTTCACAACCTCATCGTCTTCCTTGGACACACAGCTGAAGGGTGTAATAACTCAATCCTACAAGCTTGTAAAGATATCAAGAGTTTGTCAGCAGAGAAAAACCACCTTCCCAGGGCCAACACCATGGACATTTAGCACAAATAAGCCACCACTTGTAAGAAGTCCACTTGATATCGTTCCCCTGTGCATCCTAAACACACGTCAAGATCACACTAAGATACTGAGAAGCAAACATCTTTAGAATAATGTTTTGTTCCCAAAGTGCTTAATTAGCAGAAACACTGCTAAAGAGCTCTCCTTGGAATATGCATTTTAACCTCTGTGTTATTTTTTTCTGAAGTAAAGATTTTCCTCTCACTGGATGGTCAGGAAATCACTGGACACAGAAATCCACATGTCTGGGCTGGGAAGGTGGCTCAGTGGTAGAGCGCTTGCCTTGCATGCCTGAGGCCCTGGGTTTGATTCCCCAGCACCACATAAGCAAAAAGGAAAAATGCCAGAAGTAGTGCTATGGCTCAAGTGGTAGAGCGCTAGCCTTGAGCTGAAGAGCTGAGGGACAGCGCCCAGGCCCAGAGTTCAGGCCCATGACCGGACCCAAAAAAAAAAAAGAAATCCACATGTCTGTAGGTGTCAATCTAAAAATGGGTTCCATCTTTCCAAGCAGGTTTCCACTGCTTTTGGGGTAACATCCCCTTTCAGAAGGGGGACTATATCCATCCACTGTTGGGTGAACCATGCTCCCGTGGCCTAGTGATATATGAACTTTGGATATACCTCCCATCCATTTCTTCTGCCCCTTTGCACTCCAAGTTGAGCCAATTATGTATGTAAGACCTCAGTATATGACAATTCAAACAAACCCATCCATCCATCTGGCCTCCCGAGTTGCTCCATTTGAAGTCATAGGCCAGAGTTAACCTTGGAGGCTTGCAAACACACCCAGGACAGGATTTATTTATGACAACCAAGTGTGTTCAACAACCAGCACCAACAGACTACAGCTTCACTCACATGTCTAGATCTGGAATGATCTATCTATTCACTGTGTCCAATTTCAGGTACCATATTTCCAAGTGGGAAAACAGAGATTGGGGGAAGGGGATGAACTAGTGGGGTGTGTGGCTGGCCATATACCCAGATGCCCCTAACCCTGGTCACTACATGACAATGGTGACCCAGCACAAAGTGGGGAAAGTGTCTCTTGTTGCATAGGTTTGTCACCTCCAGTGGTTTCCAATTGGAGAGAGTTGAAGAAGTGGCATCAGGAATGACTGACCATGTGGGCTTGATTAAACCGGTTGTGCATTTTCCCACAGGGAAGACTGGAAGGCTGAAGGGAGCCTTGCTCCTCATTTCAGAGACCCCCCTCTCCCCAATTTGGCAATGATTCACATCAGGAGGTTCAAATGTGGACTCCAACTCAAGTGCAGCAAACTTCTGCCTTCCATAGTCTCCCCCGTGAGTCCCCCCTCCCCCCCAGTTGTATTTAGACTTTGAAAGAAGTTAACAGGAGAAGCAGCAGTAGTCACCTGGGCGTGCTCAATTTTTGACAAGCCTTAGTCACTCTGTACCCAGCAGAACAATTCACATTATATTCCAAACCCTGTGAAGATCTGCCACACATGCTAACACTAAAATGCCAGGAGCTCCACTTACCTTCTTTATTAAGCCTCATAACCTCCCTGCTTTTTCCACCCTCTTTTCCAGCCTCTTCTAAATCTACATCTGCAGATGAAAAAAGAAAAAAAGGAAAAAAAAGAAAATGAGGAAAAAAAAAAAAAGAAGGAGGGGGGAGGGAAAAAAGCCAAAGTCAAGGGGGGAGGGAGAGTGTGTTTATTTGCAAACACATCGATCTAAATACTGTAGATGAAAAATCTTTCGAAAATTGACAATGTAACGTTTTCTCCCAAGTCTGGATTTTACATCTACCTGGCCCAGATAGGTACCAAAAAAAAAACAAAAAACCCAACTATGCAAGCAGCAACAGAGTAGCCTTTTAAACAGATCACACCGTGGGGCTGCGAAAGCCCACCCCGCGGGCTGCCACGGGGAGCCGGGCACCGGCAGGCAGACAGACAGACAGCCAGCCCTGGAAGCCGGGCCTCCGGTGCACTGATGCTCTGCCTCCGCGTGTATTTATTTAGAGGGAGAGGGGGGGAGAGGGAGCAGCATGGAGGACACCGGGGGCCACTCTCCCTCTCGCACACACACTTTTTCCCGGAGGCTCCGGGTGAATGGGGAGGTTGCAGGGTAATAAAGGGAGGGGGGGCGGTGGGGTTCTTACTGTCGGAGCAGTGTAATTTGGCGGCGTCGATCCAGGAGGACCAGGGTTTGCCCAGAAACGCCTCCGGACTGGGCACTTTGCGATCCAGTGTCGCCATTGCTCTTCCTTCTTGTTGCTTTTTCCCTGTTCCTTCGGCAGCAGCAGCCGAGAGACACGGGATTCGAGAACGCTCCGACGTCATCTTCGGAACGTTCCGACATTGAGTTGCTCTGGAGGGGGAGGGCGGGAGGGACCGGCGGAGGGAAGGGGGCGGGGAGAGGGAGGGAGGGAGGCGGCGGGCGGAGGCGGGGCGGGGGCGGGGGCGGGGCCGGCGCGCGCTCGGCGCTCGGCGCTCTGCCCTGCCCGGCCCGGCCCGGCCCCGGCGAGGCGCGGCGCGGCGCGGCGCGGCGCGGCGCGGCTGGCGGTGCGCGCGGCCGCTAGGGGCGCTGGATCGGCGCCGCACGCACGGCCGCCGCCGCCGCCGCCGCCGCCGCCGCGAGCCCGCCCGCCCGCCCCCCCGCCCCCCGGGGAGGGGCTGCGCCGTCCGGACCGCGCCGCGTGCCGGAGCGCAGACGCCGCCGTCGCCCGGCCGCGGCGATGCTGCGACGCCGCGGGCCGGGGCCCGAGGAAGGCTGGTCTTTCCGGCAGAGTTGCCGCCGGAGGACCCAAAGTTTTGCACGCCGCGGGTCCCTCCTTCCCCGGGGGTCCCGGTCGCCCCGGACGCGGCGCCCTCCGCAAGGGGACCCCGCGGCTGCAGGGGCGGAGCCGCGCAGGTGTGCAGCCCGAGCCAAGGAGCGGACTCCGGCGACCGGGCCTCCCAGCCGGCAGCTCCCGCCCCGCCTCCTCCCCGGGTGGAGACCTCGACGGACCCGGGAGATCCCCGTGGGCAGGGGGAGATGAGGCTGGGGGCGAGGGGAACTTCCACGCCAGCCTGCGCGGCTCGCGAGACTCGAACTCCAGCCCGGGCTCGGGCGGCCTCGGGTCCGCGCGCAACGTCTGCAACGCGCTTGGAAACCTCCGGCATCCCCCGGAATTCGCCGGCGAATCCGCCGCGTTGGGAAGACGGTTCGCGGCCCGGCCCCGCCGACAGAGCCCGGCGATTCTTCCTGGGAACGGGGCCCGGAAGATCCCCGCACCGACCTCCGAAATCGGGCTTCCTCCAGCCAGAGAGGAGGGGAGCGCTAGGCTGACAACGGATCTGGGACCTTTCTTTGGTGCTTTAACAGATTTTTCTCCTGTCTGTAGGGGTAGGTAATAAAGTTCCTAAAAGGTCTTCTGTGATCTCTCTCTTTTTTTATTTTATTTAATAGTCATTACCTAAAATATATGAACAACTCAAATTTTTCTGCATTGCCGTTTCCCTCTTGTTCGTTTGGTTCCCAGCTGAGACTTAGTTGAAGTGTGTGTGTGTGTGTGTGTGTGTGTGTGTGTGTGTGTGTGTGTGTGTGTGTGTGTATACTCAGGCCTGAGTGATGTCTCTTAGCTTATTCGCCCAAGGCTGGTGATCCACCAATTGAACCATAGCTCCATTGCCAGCTTTTAGGTGGTTAAATGGGGATAAGCATCTCAGGGACTTTCCTGCTCAGCCTGGCTTTCAAAAGCGATCCTCAGATGTCAGCCTCTTTAGTAGCTAGGTTTACAGGCTCCATCCACCTGCAACTGGCTGATTTGAAGTTTCACACTGAATACCATCCTGGTTGTGCCACCTCTTGCCTGGCACTCCATGCCAGTGTTAGGATGTGTGATGAAGGAGGAGCTACACCGTTACCTTTACCTGTGATATTGGTGAGACTGGGCTTGTCTCATTTACTTTTGCCCTCTCTAGAGAGGCTCCTAAGGAGCTCAGATGCCATAGGGTGCAATTCCCACTTTAAGGATTGAACTGTTAACAAATACTACTCACTGGCCTCTTTAGATATGTGGACACTGTGCTTGACATTTCCACCCATCCATCTGTCCATTTACCCACTTATGTACCCATCCATCCTTCCAATTATCCAACCATCCATTCATCTTCACACCCATCTACCTGTATACCTACTCACCCACCTGTCCACCCATTCATCCATCCACTTATCCATCCATACTCCCATCCATCTATCTGTTCATCACCCATCCATCCCCTTACCCTTCCAACCATTCATCCATCCATCTATCCAGTCCTTCCACCTATACATCCATCTGTCTTCTCAATCAACATTGCCTCTCATGGACCAGCTTCCCTCTGGAGGGGAAAACAAGTGAGACCCATCCTGGCCTTCCCAGTGAGGCAGCCTAGTGGCCTCTGGAAGAAGGAAGGAATAAAACTTACCAGCTGCCTGGGAAGCATGGCACATGCAGTGACTGGCAATATAGCGAGTATGACCACTTGGGGCGGGGCCAGTGCATGGCAGCAACTGAAACATAGCTAGGAGGGATCACAAAATATGTCCCAGAGCAACTGGAATCTTGTCTGCAGCTTGGAAATTGGGAGGGATTTACAATGGCAAGAGGAAGTCTGGTCTTGCCAGGGGAGGAAGAACCATCACGTCATCAGAGGCTTTGAGCTGAGTGTAACCTAGGTTTACAAACCTAGGGTTATAAACAAACCTCACTCAACAAAGTGAGGTTTACTGGGGGTTGTGATTATTACTGGGGACCAGGGGATGACAGATTTGGGCAAATAATGCACTGAATAGATGCCTAAAGAATGATATTGTCAGCCAATAGGGAACCACTTGGGGGCTTTCCACACTGTAAAAAATAAAAGTGTGACTTACATTATTTTGGCTCTGGTGTCTGGAATATTCAGCATATTAGGCTGCTGTAGCAAGTCATGCTGTCACATTCATGGTATGAAGAAATAAAAGGCTAGACCTCGGTGGGGCTGTGCTGGTGGATGAAAGGAAACTGTATGGGAGATAGTAAGAGCTCCTCTCACAGGGCAGGTGATTTGGCTGGCTTTTGGAGTGGAGAGAAGCATAAAGCACTTAGATACTGGAGCATTTTCCCCTTCCCATTCTGCTTTCTTGTTTTTCCTCTTGTTGGTGCTTATTCTTTGATGTTGTGAGTACAAGGAAGCATGTATAGGTAGCTTCCAAGATGGCCCTGAATATCACTGCCTCCTGGTATTTCAGCCCTTACCCAGTCTCCTTACCCCTTAAGTGCAGACTGGACTTCCTTCTGGCAAGTGGAATATAGCCTATGTTCCCTGGACCAAGTGAACGAAGCATCTGGAGGGATGGGATCTGAGGTCTTTGGCCCAATAGGTTGTGTCGAACTGAAATTTGCCAGTAATCTGACACTTTGGGAGTCAGTGACTTTAACTTCCAGAGCTGTCTTCTCAAATGGGAATTCAAAATATTGAATATGGATTATCATCAGAAGTCAGGACCCCTCTGCTACAGAGAAATAGTCAACAGTTCTATATTTTGACATTAATGTATGCCACACTTAAGTCTGGAAAATGGTATGACAGTCTCCACCTTATTCCAGCTGGGAGGATTTTACTTTGTGACGCACAAAAGCATGGGCTGAAATCTAATAATGAATTAGATCTCTATGAAAGAAGGCTTAGGATATAGCACCATGATTAGTTGATAATCAGAATACATATACACTGTCACAGTTAGAATGATGTGCTGTAGTCTCCACCCCAGTTCTTCCAATTGTCATAGAAAGTTGAGGTGTACTCCAACTTCATAGAACTCTGACCACACACACACACACACACACACACACACACACACACACACACACACACACACACACACACACACACACACCAGTTGGTTGGATGACATAAAGGTGAATTAAATTGCCTAACTGGGAGCCAGACAGGAAGAACATTGATCATCATCTACTAGACATTTACACTTGTCCTGGGATGGACAATGAGCTCAGTTGGGATTAGTTTGAACCAACATGGTACATAGATACTATTATATACACACGCATACACATATCAGCTATATATCTGGTAAATTTGTTGTAGACCTGAATTCTTTTTGGTTGGAAACACTGTTGGAGGCAATATGACTCTTACAATCCTTATTAGGAATATAAAGTCATCTTCAAAACAGTCATTTAAAGCATGATAGTATAATGTTTATAGATGAACTGTTTAGCAAAGGCATAGTGCCCTCTTGCCCTCAAGACTAATGTTTAAGAGGATAAAGGGATGTTTTTATTATCTTAGAAAAAGGATGGGAATAGTTGGTTTAATTAAAAAGGAGACTCTCCCATAGACCAAATAAGGAATTCCATCTGAAAAAAAAAAAGACAGTAGAAGACACCTATTTAGTCTAAACATACTTGGTTCTGTAGCAGTGTGCATTTTACATGCCCTCTGCATTAGTCAAGTGCATGTACAGTTGTGCCACAGTGGTGAATGGAAGAGAAGTGGAAATCTTACCTTTCTTACTGAGGATTTTAAGAGAGCTGCTGGGGTTGGGGTACTGTGAACAGCACCCTACTTTCCACCTGTTGTTGGTAGTAGTCACCTGGAGACAGTGAGGAGAATTCAACATGCTCCACTAAACTAAGTTGTCCCAGAATTGTTTGATGTTCTTTGCCTTAATTGAATCCATCTATCCCATCTGCCACTCTTCTCTCTAGATTTATTTTCCTAACCCACTCTCCCTGAGAATTGTACTTTGGGGAAGCTTGTTACCTACATTGTCTTACTCTTTGTAGAAGCTCTCTGCATCTGGAGGGCAGGTGTGCCGGCCCCCTAGCTTGTCAAATGACTGCCTGCTTCTTTCCTGCCTCTCAGATGCAGATGGATTGGAAATGGGACTGGGATAAAAGACTGTCAGTAGCCACAGGAGTGAGGAAAGAGGAGTTCCAGGCTTTTGCCGATTGATTTCAGTAGAGCGCCAGCCATGTGCAGGTCTGGATAAATATGAGCTCCATTAATAAATATAACTACTAAAATACTGCATTCTGAAGCTAGGTGCTGGTGGCTCACACCTGTAATCCTAGCTACTCAGGAGGCTGAAATCTGAGGATTGTGGTTAGAAGCTATCCTGGGCAGGAAAGGCTGTGAGACTCATCTCCAATTATCTACCAAGAATACTGGAAGTGGTGTTGTGGCTCAAGTGGTAGAGCACAAACTTGAGCAAAAAAAGCTCAGGGGCAGCACCAAGACTCTGAGTTCAAGCCCCAGAACCTGCACAAAAATAAATAAATGAAGGTATTCTGCCTGAGAACAATGTCTACCTTAACATCAACCCCTCTCCCCTGCC